GTCAATGCATGGTCCCATGCCTTGGTGCTGCAACACAACACAGGCAAAACTTGATGAGATAGGCATATGTGTCTGTCCAACCTAAGTTTTCCATCTTTCACAAAGTGCCTCCTACCTTTCTGTGAGCATTTGCTTAAACTCCTCTCAGAGTTGACTAAGCTGACTCAGAGGAGGTTTTAAGTAGTCCATTAAAATATTCTGTAATTTAGCTATTTCTACAATTCTATTTCTACAATTATTTTACTTTTTAAATCTCCATGAAGGTGTTTATAAGATCACTTTAAAATATAACTTTTGCTGCCCAGCCAACTTTTGTTGCCTGTGCCTTTTATTATGGATGTAGCCAACCAAACCCCTTGCTTTGCAGTAGCACAGGCTGCCAATACAATCTGATTATTCCTGAAGCATCAAAATAATCTTCATAACGCAAAGAATTATTGTGGCAGTAACACGGAGCAGCGCCTTGTTGAAGCAGGTAAACCTACATATAGAGGAAGCTGTGCGTCATGCGTAAAACTCAACATGATTATTTTATCCACCCATATTTTCTCTCTCTCTGTGCATCTCAAAAATAAATAACAGCTGATAGCTGCTGAGTGAAAGATTAGTTTCACCGGCGACATTCTGTTTATGGACTCACCCTCTGACATCGCTAAACAAATAGTAACCAATGTGTATTAAAGAAAAGAAACAGACTTATGTCCAAAGTCAACAACAGGACACTTTTAATATGTCTCAATCAATGCAGTGATCGTCTGACATAGATCTTACAGTGTGTAGTCTAGTCTTCATTTGGTCCGCAGAGACTAAGTTAATGGAAAGTGAACATAAGTTCACTAGTAGAACATAAAGTCTGAAACTGAAAAGATATTTGCCTGATTTTCTAAATGTTTGCATCTGCCCAGCTCTGTGACTGTGACAAGCGCGACCAGCGCTTTACTGCGTAATTGCACGAGCACAGCCTGGATTTAAGCAAAATGCAGATTACAGATTGATTAAATTATGAAGATATGGATGGAAAATGTAGCAAAATAAAAAGTACATTAGACCCCTGCTGCAGACATCATCACTCCTGCCTTCACCTATAAGTAACAGCAGCACAAAGGAAAAGTCTGTAATATAGGCATATGTATATATGCATATATAGGCACTTTGCTGCGCCTTGAGCAACTTGTTTTTTCCTCCCTTAACATTTCTATCGGATACATTTTGTCCGCGACTGATGTGGAGTGTGTGAGTGATTGACTGTTCACTTAGTAAACCGCCTCCTATATGAGCCAGCTCCGAAATCGCCTGAGCCAGGTAGGCAATGCGAAATAAAACTTTAAATTAGGAAAGAGGGGGGACAAAACATATATTTTATATTAATATGTATAGGCCTAATACCTCTTATGCCTATTAGGTGATTAACCTCACCACAAATCCACACACGTTAATTCACGTTCGCCTCTGATAAAGTGCAGCTCACAGCTTCAGGTGGAGCAGAGAGGACAGACACAGAGCTACAGCTGGATCATCTTATTCTCGCTAAGGAGAATAAATAATAACAATAATCTCTCTCGCTGGCTCCCGTACAGGTAACGTTAGTTAAGCGAGTAAAGTTCAATTTTCGGCCTTTTGTTGTTTGTTTTTTAAAAATCCTTCTGAGATTCGGGGCTTTTCAAAAAACATCCGGATGCCCAGGGCTAACGACGCCGCTGATAGACGGTAGCCTACATAAGATAGTGGACATAGTAATCTTGACATCACCTGTTGCTTTGTGGACTGTTTTGCCTCGAGGTTGGCTGATAGGGCGCTGCCATGTAGAGGTTTTGCAACCAGTTGCAACGGACGTGACCGTATTTGGACAAGACAGTGGCGCTTAGTGTTGTGTCGTTCAAAGAACGTTTCGTCCATTTGACCTAATCTTGTATGTTACTCAGGAGGAACGGGTTGTCTCAGTGAGTAATTCATACATTTTCACACATGCTTGAATATCCAACAAAGGTTAAAATCAAGGGCAACTGGACTTGGTTGAAGATACTGGAAGACTTCTTCAGTTCTGACTGACTGGCAGGGAAACTCAGCTATTTAACCTCAGTGGGGTCGTTATCCCGGGTCATCGATACTGCTGGTTCGTTAGTGTTCCTTGTTGCTGTGACGACAGTCGTTACAGTCGTTAAGACTACCGGTGGCCAAGACTGAACGACCATCGTTGGTATCTTCACCTGAGGCCAAGAGGTTACGTTTGTTGAGTTTCCTGGGAAGTGATGAAAGGACAGCATTGTAAGTGGGGGATAAGTGGTGGCGTAGACCCCCTCCCCTGTTCAATGACGGCTTCTCAACCCTGGTGCAGATGGCTTCCTTGACACCTCTTTCAAACCATCCATCTTCTCTGTCTAAAATGTGCACCTGGTGGTCCTCAAACGAGTGTCCTCTGTCCTTCAGATGTAAGTAGACTGCAGAGTCTTGACCTGAGGAGTTGGCCCTTCTGTGTTGAGCCATGCGTTTGTGTAGTGGTTGTTTAGTCTCCCCAATATACAGGTCTGTGCATTCCTCACTGCATTGGACCGCATACACTAGATTGCTTTTCTTGTGTTTGGGTGTGCGGTAGTCCATAAATGCATGGAATGGCTTCTCCAGGATACAAATGGTAATATTGTTCACAGGTGATGGTGTTGTCCTTCTGTAACTGTAAACATTCTATGGCCTTTTTCTTGTATCCGCTGGTTGGGTCTCGTCTCAGTGTCTCATACGTGTTTGTGTCCATTAGTAGTGTGTTGACTTTGTTCTGGTAGTCAGCTGTGTTAAGTACTACCGTGCAGCTTCCTTTGTCAGCAGGTAGGATAGTGATGTTTTGATCCTTGCTCAGAGATGTCACAGCCTTCCTTTCTTGGATGGTGAGGTTGGAAGGGGGGGCCTTCGCATTAGAAATGGCTGCAGATACCTTTAGTCTGAGCTGTTCCGCTTCTGTTTCTGTTAATTTGTTTTTCCTAATGGCCGATTCTGTGGCTGTGATGAGGTCTACTATAGGTAGTTTCTGTGGTGTAATGGCGAAGTTTAATCCTTTGGCCAGAACGTCTTTCTCTGGTTGGGTGAGTTCCCTATCTGACAAGTTTTTCACCCATCTGTTGTCTGTTTCAAGTGTTGTGGGGTTATTGTCCTTTCTCCTCCAAGACAATTCTCCTGTTCTGTTAGTGCAGCTCGCTCTGGACTGTAGGTTTTGGAATTTCCAGGTCTGTCTTTCTTTGCTCTTGTTGTGCTGAGACACAGGAAACAGAATTGATTAGTTCAGGACTCTCAACTTTGGGTCTCTGTGTTTGAGTCATTTATTTTTCATGTGACATCTCGGCTACTGTGGAGCAGGATTTCGTTCAGCGCTCACATGGGTCCTCCTCGGAGTCTGTCTTCACTCGGCAGGCTGACTTGCACTGGGGAATGAGAGGCAGCTCTGTCAGGTGACAGTCACTGGACTGACATATATCTAATATCTATTTTGATAATTTTGTGACATTTAATAAAGCATAACGTTATTACAGCGCAATTATGTTGTGCTAAGTTATAGTTTTAACACAGCCGCACCATAACTTTAGTCCTGCTAGTGTTTACAGCCAACAGCTGATGAGAGTTGTTCTGGCTCCACTTCAGATCCCTGACAGGGTTCTACCGGGAGCTGAATTACCACAGAGGTCATCTCCTCTCCAAAACAAACAGACCCGGACATTAAACCATTAAAACACAGCCACGTAGCAACGTTATCGTTAGCCCTGTGATGTGTTTACAGCTAACAGCTGATCCATGTCCGCCAGAGAATGCAACTTAACTTTATTTATCAACAGAGCCATGCTTTTGTTTCACCGCTCCTGACTGGTGAACAACCTGCAGTGTTTGAGATTATTATTACATTTGTTAAATTTTAATAAAAGTGTGTTTATTCATCTAGTGTGTCAGGCTTATTACTTCAATATATTCCCTGTAAATCTGATGTTAATATATAGATTTTACTCATGGATAGGCGTTAGGCTGCTGTATAAATGAGCAATTTATAGCTATAGTGATAGTAATTATAATTATATATATATATGGCTGGTCTGGTAGTATACTCAGGAAAGATTGTGCAAATGGACGGATGTAGCCGGAGAAGTGGCTTAATCGAATATTGACAACATATTTCTGTGTTTTTTCCATGGTCTGAATTTGGTTGTGGCTCCATGGGGCTTTATAGAACCATGATAGAGAAAGAATTTGTGCATTATACTTTGACAGTTAGAGCAAGCCAGGCAGCCTTCTGTGTTTGAGAACTGCGCTGTTTTTTAAAAATCGCTCACAAGAAGGCTGCATTAGTTCATTTTAATGAACGAGATTTGGTGACTCGAGTCTTTCAAAAGAGTGACTTTTCCCATCACTAGTGGCGCTAACGGCCCTATGTGGAGCAGGCTAGCAAGTTGCATCTGTAATTCATGTTAACTGTGTTAACAGGGCTGACAATTTTTTCTAGCAAACAACAGGCTTAAAACTAAATGTACTCACCAGAGAAAGTGAACAGCCAACTCCTAATAAGCTTTTTCAATGGCACTGGTTAAATTTACACAGTGCCGTCGGCACTCTAGCCTGATTGACAGGTTGCCATTGTAATGACTTGTCAATCACAGATAATCCCGCCCTGAAGCATACTCTGCTTTATAATAATAAATGGAACCTGACATAATTTTGGCCGTTCAGTAGACTGCAGGTTTAAAGGACTTCCGCATTGGCTTCGCGTCTCAGACTGGAAGCTTCCCGCTATTAGGAATATAGGAATATATGGCACACATTTCATAACTGAACACGGCTGCAATTGCACATTTGATGCGTGTAATGTCTTTTTACATCATTTAACGTAAGAAAATACTATTACATATTTTGTGAAAAATAACTGTTAGAGTCAGATTCCTCAGTTGTGTGTGTGTGTGTGTGTGTGTGTAGAGGTGCTGACCCCCAGAGAGCAGAGGACAGATTATTAAAATAATAACTCTACTCAATTCAAGAGTTCAATCGTTCAGCTTTATTTCCACAAAGAAACTGCATATTTTAGCATATGATGATGCACCAACACAGTATGGAAATGTATTATTCTTTCCTACCTCGAGGTCAATCAGACAATTACAGAATTTTCTGTTGTTTAATGCAAATTTAACTACTGTTGATGCAGTGACCTATTAATAGTTCAGTTGTGCATTTCACATCTCCAAGGTCTTTCTCACATTAAAACCAGATGACATGATGAAATATTAAAACATTAAGACAAGGAACTTTACAGCTACATGTACTGTACATTTACTCGATATATATTTATTTAGCGATAAAACACATCATATAGAGGGATTTATAGGAATGCAATTTCACACTTTTCTAATGTCACTACTGATGCTGGGATTATAATGTATGATTTCAACTTAGTTCATTCCAGAATATGGGAGTAGAAAAAAAACTTTGATCTGATATCAGATGATTTTACAATCTTAGTCTCAGTGTCTGAAGAGATGGAGTCCTCCATCCTCCATCCTCCATCAGACAGATGTCTGGTTACGGGAGATTTCAGTGACACTAATCTGCATATGAAGAGCATGAAAATGAATGCATCAGTGAATGACACTGAAACTTTGGGCTCTGATCTATGTTTTGTGCAGAAACACAAATACACACTAGTTGATATCTTGCAAGGAGTGCAGGAAATTGCTATTTCTATTTTAAAACTATAGGTTCCAATATTTTTAACCCTCACTAAGGACTTTGTTTTGTGCTGTAGAAATACACTCTTTGGGCTCTGCTCTTCGCACCTAAGGGACAGAAAGAACTGGTGAAGGTATTGCAGTGAAGTACAATATGTGCACACATGCAGGATGTGAGGTGTAACCCCTACCTGATAGGCAGATGAAGTTGAAAAGCTCACCACAAGGCTGGTCATTCCACAGGAAGAGCTCGCCACTGGCCATGCCTCCACAGGGATTGGAGTAAAAGGGAGGTGCCAGATTTTGCGGCCATTTAGTAAATTTCATGGAATCGCCAGACATCCAGAACCACCTGTCGTCCATGATGTCTCTGCAAAATAGATGTATTAACATATTTACTTGTTAACAAAATGTTGATGTTTAATGACTGTACAGTGATTTCTGGCTGCGTTTTATAATCACTCCATAGCAACAGCTTCTAATGCAGAAATATTTTAACATTTTTGACAGCTTAAGTTTCACACGGGCCCGTCAAACATAAATCCGGCCTTCTCTTTATGATGTTATATAGGGCTACAACTAACAGATACTTAAATTATTCTTTTTTTTATTCATTCAGCCAATGCAGTGAATAAAACATAGTGGGGAAAAAAGCACTTCACAAGTTCTGAAAGCTTAAGTTGAGAGCTCCAAATGCTTTTTTGTCTGACAAAGAGACCAAAATGCAAAGATATTCAATTAAAAAAACCTATAAAACACAGAAAAGCAGCAAATCCTCACATTAAAAAAGATAGAACCAGCAAATGTTTGTGCCAGATTGACCAGCATAAACAATTTATAATCAGAATTAGTGGCTATTCATTTTCTGTCAATTGACAAGTGAATGAATTGACTCTCTGTTTCAGCTCTACTGATACAGTAGATTTGTCATAGCGTGTGGCTTCAGTGAAAGCTGTTAGCAAAGCATCCATGAATGTCTGTTTTGGGATGGCAGAAATGCAAATCAGACAAATAAGGACAGGCAACATTTGACTCATAGGCGTGTCTTTTGAGTATATGTAAATGAGCAACATTCAAATCCTTATTTTATTTTACTGTAAGGACAGAGAGCAGATTAGAACATCTCACCTCTCAGTCTATTCATGGAGCTTGTACCTTCATCAAGAGTCCAACTTCTAACATCTTTTAAACCTGAACAAGTTCCATGATCTTGCCTATGACTTAGGCCTTTACACTCAGTTTTCAAATTCTATATGTTGTAAGTTGCACTTCTGTGTTTAATAGATGAGTTCAGAGCAAATAGTCAACTCGGGGCTTTTTGTTCCAAAATGAACCCATTGCTGTTGTTATACAGAAGACTGGTTGAAAAAGTAGTATAACAAAATACAATACAGGGGTTTTGTGGGAGGTTATATATTAAAAACCTTAAATTCTGAACTTTAGGAAGGTATTTTATTCTTTAAAGATGACAATCAAAGAGGCCATCATGTAAATGAAAAACCACAACAGTTAATGTAGATTATATTAGGCTGAGTTGTACTTGAGTGAGACACTGAGCACTTACCTGTTCATTTTTACAGCTGCCCTGAATCAGAACATCAACTAAATCTCTAAAATGTCAATGTCAGTGTAGAGTACCTGCGCAATCCCAGCCAGACATGCTGTGTGAGGGAGAAAGGACTGCTGTTCAGCAGCTGCTCCACCTCACTCTGTTCTTCCTGGTTGGAAATGCTAAGCAGGTCCCAGTAGTAACGTCTACAGTAGAACAGAGCATCGGACCAGCAAAGCCTCTTCCCCACCACCGTCGCATTCCTGCCACTCAGGAGAATGCTCACAGTGGGAGGAGGAGGAGCAGCAGGAGGAGCAGTAGTAGGAGAAAAAGTGACTTCTGGCTCTGGAGAGAAAGAATGTTGTTGGTTTCTGTTGGCTTAATTCACATTTGATTGTTGTTTTAAAAACAGGCTTGTCTTGAAATGTCAAGACAAGCCTGGGGAGATTTGGTTTCAAAATGAAAAGATAGGGAGAAAAGTCAGAAGGTCAGCACCTGACCGTGTAGCCAAAAAGTCACTGGAATCAATTCACATTGTACCAAGATATGATTTTATTTTTTTCTGACGTAGTACTCTTTAAGTAATGGAAAAAGTTAAAATCAATAGTAAACATCTCATTTGTTGCTCACCAGCTGTATCTGACTTTAGACATTGTAGCAGCAACAACAGCAGCAACAACATTAGCTTCATAAGCCAACAATATAAGAAACAGAACCACGTCAATATATAAAAGTATTTGATAGCTTGTTTTCTATGTTTTTGGTTGATTTCCATCTATTGGACATATTATTCAAAGACCATACCTGCCAGAGAAGCATACACATTCACTTCACATAGCGTCAGAATCTTCCTGTCTCCTGGAATGGTCACAATGACGTAGCGACCTTCCATGCCTGCACACTGGAAGGTGAATACTGATGTTCCCTCCACTGATGAGATAACACCACAACTGATGGAGGGAGAGAAACATCATGTGATTTGGGGACAATTTCTCTAAAATGTAAATGTGCTTTAATGTGTAGCTGCTCTGAAGCTAAATCAGAAGAAACACATACTTTTTAATTATTAACTGACAAATATTCCAGTTGTAGAAATCACCTGGGGTTTTTAATGTTACTGTACCACTGTGAGTTCCCAATCAGGATCTGTGTCCCCAGCAGCCTTTCAGGACAACATTGTTTCCTGTTGACGATGGTGACAGCAGTAACCTTGTGAACAGCTAGCAAGTCTACTCCCCACCAGGGGTTGGATTGTATAAACGTACAGGAACAGCATTTATCGAGTCCACTTCTACACCCACTGACAGGATTAGAGGCCATCCAAAGCCCAGGCCGAAGAGATGGCCAAATAGATGACTGTGCTGTTGGTTTGTTCAAGGCCATGTTTGGTAAAGTTTCCACTAAAGAAAAAAACAACAAAAACAAACAAAACAGAAATGAATCAATATCTGACTGTTGTGTTGCAGTGAAATGAAGGTCGGGCATGCGATTCTAATCCAATATGCATTTATTTTTGGGTTAAATTCACTCCTCATGGTCTCATGTCCATTTTGTTTGTGCACTGAAACAAATCTTGTACACGGCCCTCGCTCTGTAAATGGGAAATAAAGTGGCTCAGACTGAACCACACGGCACTTTTCCAGTCATGATTTGTGTGGATAACGTTAAGTAACTTGCCCATGGACAATAAGCTTACTTTCTAGTTTGCCAAGACATGCTGATGCTGCGATTTTAGTTATAGTAGCAGGAGACTTGTGAGAACTGCTGTCTGGAGCTGATGTGCTGACTCCGAGACCACAACTCTACTCCAGAGACAGAACCAGAGTCAGAACAGAGTCTCTTCCTCGCCGGCCTCCAATACATTCCTTTCCCACGTTCATCCCCTTCCTCACACCCATCCTCAACATCCTATACTAGTTTCTTTCCTTAAACCTTTAAATTCACACTCACTGTTCTGGCAAGTCAAACAGTTACAGTTTTACCTGATGGGACAGCATACACCTCCACTTCGCACAGGGTGAGAGTCTTCTTCTTTCCAGGGATAATCACGTTCACAAAGCGACCCTCCATTCCACCCCCATCACAGTAGTATGTGCAGGTTTTGCCAGCTTTGATTTGGGGGATGGAAGCACACCTGATTGGGTAGAGTGGGGGAATAGTTGTGGTTATGTTATGGGGTTCTTGTTAAAAGAGAAAAGTCCACATTTTCAAGCCTTCTCTCACTAGATATATTTACTTGAACTCCAAAAGTAATTCACAATTGAATTGCCAATAAGTTGCTGCACCAACATTATAAAAAGTATCAGAATAATTATGCGCCATGCATGGCTAGTACAGAAATCGATGCCATTTGATTCTGACAAGTTGCTGCATCTAATTTTAGCCCAGTATTGGTTTTCTTCTAACTTGTGGGGATTATGTGTGCCTATTCTCAGACACATCAGGACATAAATCCTGTGCAAAATAATTGTAGGAGTCATTAACTGATTTATTGCAATTAAGCTGAATGCTAATGTTACCACGGTAGCATCACAATGATGACAATCCAAACATACGGAGGATAAGAGAGGAATATTTACCATGTTCGGCATAATTGTAATGTTTACCATGTTCTGAACATCTGTTGCTATGCTAATGCCATGCCATCTGAGTTTGATGGGAATGCCATTAGTTTTGCAAGTATTTGTTCTACCAAAGTAAACCAACCCAAAGAAAGGTCTGGGGATGAACAAAGTTATTAGATTTCATCATAAGCTTGACATGATTGTACCAAATGTCATGGCCATGGCTATGAAAAGTTATGGAAACATTTGACTGAATTGATCTGTTGGATTTATTATCTGGGGATCCTGAATGTCTGTAGAAACATGGCAATTTCCAACATATTTCAGTCTGGACCAAAGTGGTGGATGAGATGATTGACACTGGCAATCCCTAGATACACCACAACATTTGATAGACTATTTCCAGTATAGCATTTTAAATACCAACACTTGGGGTGGAAAACTAACTGGAAGAGTTGGTTCAGTACAGCTTTCTCTAAAATAAACACAGTTTTCAATCTGGACAAACATTTATCAATTTTAACAGATTTTCCTGTGAAAACTTGTTAAGGAGATCTCTGTTTTTGGATTCTCTAGTGGTAGCTAAGTAGCTGATGGGTTGGCTGATGTTCCAGTGGGCAGCTATATCTTTTTCCCTCTGTCTGTAATGGAGGTTAGTAATTGTTGGAAGGATACGTTGTATCATCTAAACACTGAAATGTTACTATTATTATAATTGTAAAATGAAATTTACATTGAATCCAGCATGTTCTGATCTCTTGTTTGTACCTGGGGTTGTTGTTTCCATTGTTCTCTTGTGAGTTCCCAATTCGGATCTCAGCTCCATCCAGCCTCTCAGCACAGCAGTCTCCTCTATTGGTGACTTTGACAGATGTCACTATATATGTCCGTTGCAGGTCCACACTCCACCAGGGGTCGGTCTCATTCTCTGCTGTGTGACTACAGAACCCACGGCTGTAGTATGAGATCCGTCTCCCATCAATGGCTTTGGAGGCAGCAGCGAAAGAAAGTGTTGATGACTGAGTGGCATCTCCTTTTAGTGCCACATTAGCTAAAGGATATGCTTGAAACAAAATTAAACAGATGGTTAAATTTATCATTTCTGGTTGTTTATCATTACATGCATGAAGATTACATATTGTCGCTGTATTGAAGGTAGTGAGGGGATCATTTAAAAAATCTGCAATAATTCAAATGACTCAGAGCTGGACAGGTATCCTGGTCCCAGACTACTGAATCTCCAACCACATCTCTGATCTGTTTAGTGAATCAAAGGATTAAAATTGTGGATGTCGTGTTTGTGAGCCTGAGCTAGAAAAACAGCTTTAAATCGACTAAATGACAACTGTAAAATTGCCATACTTCCTCAGTCATAAAACATTGTAAGTTAACTACTCATTTTTGTCAATTGAAAATGACATCAGCAAGACTGACATCACTTTTTAGTTGATTCGTATTAGCAAGACAACCCCAAATAACCCCAACTCCCAAACAGAAATCAGCTAACACACATTCAAATAGTGAGGTTAAACCCAATGGCAATTCTTTCAGATTATCAGGCCACTGGACAGGGTCTCTGCAGGAATGTGTCAAAGAAGATGTTTACTGCTGTTGCCTGTGGCCCAAAATGTCTATAGAACTACCCCTGTTCACAAAGGAACATTGATTTTAACATTTTGGGCCCCAAGCTAAAGAGTTCTTGAACTACTACATGTATCTAGATCAGACTGTATGACATGTATCATTACCATAGTTCACAGTGTACACCTCAACTTCACAGAGACTTAGAACCTTCTGGTTTCCTGGGAGAAGCACAGTGACGTAGCGTCCCTCTATAGCGCCACATGAAAAGTATAATGTGCACCCGCTTGGAATGTTAGAAATGACTGCACACCTGTGTGAGAGAAACGGAGTAAAGTAACAACTAAATGTTCTTCATATCACAGTGGGATTTGTATTATGCAGGTCCGTGTCACACTGTTTCACCTGATGTTGCTGCTGTCATTTGTCTTTATTGTGTTTCCAATCCATATTTCAGAACCATTGAGCCTGTCTGACTGTTCGTCTGTGTTGGTTATCGTCACAGCAGAAATGTTGTAGACATTCTGCAGATCTACCCTCCACCAGGGATCGGACTCTTCGTTGGTGAGGGAACAGGATCCATCTGAAAAATGTGGATCTCTGTTCCCATCAACTGCCCTGGCAGCAGCAGCTAAGCCATATTGTGAAGACTGAACAGCGTTTTGATTCAGTGCCACATTTTGTAGAAGATGACCTAACGGCAAACAAATAAATATTAGACAAGAAATCTGCAAAATGTGTCGAGGAATACAATAGCTTACCTGCCAGTGCCACAGATGTCAGCATGAGGGAAATGCCTAAGTGTTTAGAACACAGATGTTAACAAAGTGCATTTTGATATACAGAATATAAAAGTTGAACTTTTTTATAAAGTTTATAAAGAAACAGAAAAGTGCAACATATGTCACCAATACTGATAAAAATAAAGTGAGCTAATTAAAACAAAAAAGAAACATGACACTGACTTTTGTCTAATATGTGTGTCTAAAACAGCCTATTTGATCTAAAACTTTCTCAATTTAGACCTGTATTGATACATATTTTTATTAAAGATGATTTGAATTATTCTGTAATGTCAGTGGCAGGATACCAGTAATTAACCTCTGCAGGTCTACGGAATCTTTTTTGTGACTATTTTATCAAATTGTTTTGGTTTTAAGGTGAATGTCCAGTGGGCAGACAGAGTACTTCAATCACATGTTAATGCTAACACACATTACAAATAAAAAATCTTGGGATTTGGTGGTGGTTGAGTATCCATCACTTTGTTTTGATGATTTGTTTGTCCTATTTTGCAAAAATTAAAATAATATAATTCAGCTTAGCTTCAGAAGTTTAGACTAACAATTAAATATTGCATTTAAATTAAATAACTAATAAAATAAAGCATTTAGTTTAAGGTTCTGTGACTTACCAGTGATCCAGATGTATCGACTCCCAGTCATGGCTTTGGAGACGATCCCAGTGTCAAGGTTAGGATAATACAACTAATACACAGAAACTAGTGGTGGACTTCCTGTCTTTGTAGTTTTTGACTGAGCAATCACATACTGTACTGGATAATTTGTTCTGGTACATGAGAACATGTAAATTTGCAGTCAGAGATGTTTGCATAATGGACACCACACCCAGTTGGACATCTGGTTATTGCAAACAAATCCTGCCTGCGTTTCCATTAACTTTGATTAATATATTGTGTACAACACCATACAGTATATAAAGTTTATTCTTCTTTCTATTTATTTTTCTCCTGATTATAATTTCTACTTTCCCCAGTAGGTAGGCTGCATAATTTCCAAGACGTGACAAATGGTGTGAAATTAGGTTTTTCCCTCTTAAAGTTAAAACATGTTACAAAATACGGTATATTAAGTACCCTTACATAAATTGATATTGCTAAACAGATATGCTTTCAAAGTGTCCAAGATGGTATGCAATCACCCACTATTACCATGAAGTTATAAAATTACATAAAAGTAATAGCTTTTATCAGCTTCGCATTCTTAGTTTTAGACTTGGGTAGGAAGGGAAACACCAGCCAGACAGCCAGATGTTATTGCACAATTAATGTCAGGTCCCATATTGATCTGTAAAAAAATAATGATAACAAATATCCATTCTTTGTGGCACTGGTTGTAAAAATCTGCCTTTGTAAAGACTGATCTGCACTGAGGATTAAATAGAATGAAGATCATAGCAGTCTGAACTGCTTTCCACTGGGGTCAGAAATAAAAAAGAATGGAGTGATAAGTGGGGTAATTTCAGAGTATAGAAGATGTTTGTGAGGCAAGAAGACAAGATTCCAACACCGGAAGAACGAGGAAAGTAATTTGGTGTGCCTGATTTTGTGGGTTATATTTGCATTATGTTAAAGCATGAAGCCATATGAGAGAGCTCCACTAAGATGTTTCTGCTGTCGGGAATGTTGCTGCAGTATGTAGGCCAATATGAGTCCGAAGATGAGGAAGTGTGGGGATGACTACTGTGAAAGGGAGGAGCTTAAAGAAGAGCAGGAACAAGTAAAGTGCATAGGCCTAAATTGGAAATCACCATGCGGGGTTACACAATGTCCAAAAAGAATTAAGGATATTCGGTTGAGTAAGATCATAGTAAAGAAGTGTTATATATATATATATATATCGGGATTTGATATGGAATTTTAGGCATGTCACCACAGCCCTATAATGAACTGTGATGATGCTGAAAACTCCTTTTAGGAGTATTTAAATCAACAAAGGCTCAGTTTCAGATAATCTGATCTGCTTGTTGGTGATTGTGTTTACCATCTGTCAACAATAGCTTATCTGACAAGTTATTAATGCCACGAAGATATTCAGTTTGCATATTAAAAAATGTATTAAAAAAACAACATAACATTTACATTACATAATGTAATGTGCAAAATCAGTTTTACAAATATTTGTTATCATAGACAGTAAACAGCATTCTTTATGAGCAACTGGTCATATTCACATGTACTTACACATACAGGCACATGCACACATGAAAATATCAGCCAATGACGGCTTCATTGTAAAAACATTGTTGAATCATAAACAACCCATACATTCACACCAAAGACAATGAAATCATAATAATAACATAATGCAAAAACACACGTCTGCCATTTGCTGGCATCATTATGAGCAACAGGAGACGAAAAAACATTGTTTCTTTGCTTGTCTCATCAAGAAACACAACACATAAATGTAAATATGTAGTGACACACAAAAAGCTAAATAATGATCCTTCATAAGGGCACATCTACCTGTTCTGAGTAAAAAAATAATATCATGGTTAACAAAAGGTTCTTCATTAGTTCCTGAGTTTTCTGACAACAAGTTTTGTCAGATGTTTTCCTGGCATCACAGTATAATAATTTAATGGCTCTACGGGTTGCTATGGAGTTGGCTGAGGGCTTAAAAGGTAAATAGACTCCAAACGCAACATTTGTTTAAAGCATGACATGTACTGGTGAAGCCAGCTACTGGTTCAATTTATTTGGGTACAATTATTGCAATAGTGCTTCTCATTTGTACCCCATTCTAGCCATTCAAACACTGATTTTAAACCACTGACAGGGAGTCAGTGTAATTGTCTGCAATTAAGTAACTTGTAGGACAGAAACCTAAAAAGGTATTACACAACACATTAAATGAAAAACAAAACACAAATTTACTTGTTTGTTTCAGAGCCTATAACAGATGTGAAAGCAGTCGAAAGGCTGTGGAAATGTCACCGCCCTCCACCACGCCTCCTCTCACCTGCAGTGACTTGATAACAAATTAAGCATGATCATAATAATTTGTGATGTACTGTGTAAAGTGAACCTCCTGGGAGATGTGGAACAGTTTATATTCAGTAGCAAATGTTTATGAATAGGGAAGTTATGGTTTTCTTGTCTTCACTCATGGGGGTTTCAGTTTTCTCAGAGGATGGCCAGGCCCAGCACACCAACAGTGATCAGCAGAGCTATAGGGAAGATGGGAGAACAGGCACTATTTATTAGATATTATTCAAACCTGGCATTTTTTGAATAACTTTGCTCTTTTAGGATAACAACACTACCTCTTATGCTTACCTTGCATCAGTGATTGCTGTAGTGCAATGCCAGCGGTAGCGGAAGATGAAAGCAGATTGGTGACAGTGGCGTTAGGGTTTGACAGGTCTACAAGACCACTCCTAAATTTGAAGTCAGGCTTTCCCAGTGCCCCAGTCACTGAGAGTGCAAGCAAAAGACAAAAACATTGCTGATGTTGGGACATGGGAAAATATTAATATATTGTATGTGGTAGTCTTTGTGACAGTGGAACTTAGTTGACTGATGAAAGTGCACATGATGTGTGAGGAAATGTGTTAGCTTACAGATGTCGAAAGTTCCACTGGAGATTATGATTGCTAAATTTATTGTTTTAGTAGCTTGGTCTGGTACGGTGGCATCAAATGTACACTGGATTGTGGTTCCATTGAGCCTGCCCTTCACAGAGCTCACGTTCAGCTAGAGAGCAAAGACAGATGACCAAGATGTTAACATATATATTTACATATATACTAATATATAAATATATAAAGAAATATATATCTATATAAATAACAAAAGAAAATTAAATGGAAGCATCGATAGATAAGGATTATTACGCAACTAGATCAGCTGAATGTACTGCTGTTCACATACTGTTTTTATATTTTTTTTTTACACAATATGTTTATTATTGTTCAAGTTTATATGACAGGCCATTCATGTGTGCTATGCAGCTGCCATGAATCTAATTTTAATATTTTTTGGAGAGGTTAAATATATTGAACAAAAGATAAAGAGCATGAACATCTGTAGCGAAAGTTGTTTCCAACAGACCAATAAATCGTCCTCACCCAGCTCTACTCCCACCACTAGCTGAGTCAAGTACAACTCACCGTTGTTGGAATCAGTGTGCCGTTGTTGAGGAAAGTGCTGATGAATTGAACAGCACTGCCATTCTTAGCACAGACGTAGGTTGTGACGTTACCTGCCTGTGGTGCAAAACCAGAAATGGTTAGTGTAACCTGTTTACATGCCCATGAATTCATACAAAGTGTGTGCTGTGATTGGCTCTGGGTTTGACTTTTATCTGTTAGTGGCAGAACTCGACATACCAGTGTGGTGTTAGGTGCCAAGGAGGCAGCGATGTAGCCTGCTGACTGTCCTGAAAGCCCCAACATAAAGTTTTGACCACTCTGCTGCTGAGCAGAAAAAAAGAAACAAGATCCAGAGGAAGGGTCGCAGTTAGAGGGCTGAGCCGCGCAGAGCTGTTGAGTCCCACAGCCTGTCCTATTAAGAGGTGTCTGCAAGGGAGACGAGAAACGTGACAAGGAAATGTGCATTTAGATTATGTTCAAGTTCATTAATAAAAGTGACTTCAAATGTTCCTGTTCTGTTCTACTGTATTCCACTATTATCTCTTTTTTTTTATTGGCAATATTTACCTCAAGAGTTGAAACTGTTTGAGCATAGGTGCCCACAGATATCCAGGACAGCGTCAAAAACAGGACAGCGAGGATCAGTCTGTTATCCATACCTGGAGTGGGTAGGGTAAGATTTTCAGTTAAAAAATAAAAGGAGACACTTCTCTACAGTCTTTTCTGCATCTATAGTTGTGTTGTAACAGCATTTGTACCAGGTGAGCTCAGAAATATGTTAATAAATCTTTTAATAAACATAAGTCCCTATGAAAGTTGTTTATAGTTATACATATAATATATATATATATTATATATTATGTTTAATTTCTTCCCAAATTCTGTGTTTTACATTTAATTTTCTTTCAGTATTATACAATTTAAGAACATTTTGTAATCAGAAAGTGTCTGTCATGTGGTGGATGAATAACATTTCAACAATTAAACAAGAAATCTAAGCTGCAAGCAGCGATTAACCTAGATTGACCTAGCACCTCCCTCACGTCGGGATGTTCTGCAGCCGTGGTGTTGTTACCAGAGGTTTTCATCATACAGAAGTGGGCGTGGTTTCGTCTTAACTTTGCTGGGAAACGCAATCAGGCGTCTGAACAGTGCCCGTCCCTCAGTCTACAGATACACAAATCACTTTTTCTCCACGTTTCACTGAGATTTGTGGTGCAAAGTCAGAGGGCACAGAACTTGTGGGTGAAAAACTGCATTTGAGACTTGTACAGCAGATTTAAGAAGTTGTTGTTTTTTGTTTTGTTTTTTGTTTGTGCTAGCATATCCAAGAAAATATATATATATTCGGGTGTGAAAATCTGATTGCATGCAGTCACATGACTTCATATTTTTGATGGGGGTTTGTGAATTTGTTTTGCACTGTGTTCACTGCCGAAATGAGTTTCTTCATTTGTGATGTAAGATAGGATTTGTGCACCTGTAATGAAGAATTTGAGAAGGTATAATTGATGTGTTTGTGTGTGAGAAAAAGAAAAGGTTTTTACATTGCTAGGTTGCACTGCAAATATTTGTAGCTGACTGGATTATAAAATGGCCGTCAGTAAGTAAGTCCGCCACTTCTGACGTTTTCTGAAGTCTCCCAAGTTTTTGACAACATTTAGGCTGCCATCAAAGCTATTCATTTGAACAAAAAAAATTATAATTCCTTGTATTTCAATAGAGTGCTCTGTTCGTTGCACGGCTCCTAAATATTCCAAGTTTAATGAATATCATTGCACTAATTTATTATCAAAGAAAGTGCTTCAATACAGTTATAAAACAAACATCCGTCTTTTTGTATAATAAATGCTCAAGACAGCAATGGCAGCACCGCAAATCCTGTTTATTTTTCAGCTCCACACAAGCATGGTACATCAGGAGAATCTGAAGGCGGAGCGTGTTTCTGTTACTAGTAGTCACTTTAAATTGATTTTCTAAATATTTATTCAGATCTTCCTTGTTAAAAGTTTCTGCACTGTTGCTGTCATGGTAACGTAATGTGACACCATGGCTCATCTAACATTTTGGCCGTTTCATATTTACTGTTAATGAAACGCCCACGAATGAGTAAATTAATGGCTTAAACTTATGTTACAGACTTGTTATAATCTGTGACGGCCCCACGGTGTTAGGTTAATTTACTGATTGAAAAAAAATAATTAGATTAATCGATTTGAAAACTAATCGTTAGGGGCAGCCCTGATTTTACCTTCTGTATATGTCACTGTGTGTGTGTAGTAGCTCTCAAATCAGAAAGCAGAGGACACAAACCAATAATTTAACAATACTAAAGTCATGAATCTATTTCCATTAACAGATTAAAGCAAATGTCCAAGTAATGTAATCTAACATTTTTGTGAATGGTGTGACAATCTTCAAATTTAGAATATACATTTTAAAGATAAGATTATACTTGATTATAAATGCACATGATCATCAATTATTTATATTTTTAATCTTTAATTCTTATATTTGAATTCTTAATATTAATTGCTCTTGATAAGAAATTAAGAAAAACTAGAAATTTGATAGAGAAAATATTTATAAAACAGTCATTCATAAACCTAAATGGAATTCATAGAGAAACTTATATTCCATTAATTACATGTACATTATATACACCAATCAGTACAGTGACTTGTAAATAGTTTCAGCTTACCTGTAGATCTTCTTGTCTTCAGTTCTGAGGATAAAATTGGTTGAGGCAGCAAAGTTTCTTGAATTGAAGATCCTGCGTAGTTGTATTCTCAGGCTTGGCTTACAGGTAGACTGCTGGTACTTCTGATGTATTTAACAGGATCAAAGGTAAAGATGTGACACCTGTTCACTCTGTGTCGCTATTTAAGCAAAGGGGTATGGAAGAGTCAAGGTATCAGAGCCCAAAAACTCCCAACTTCTCTGACATCATCACTGATGTTTGTAGAGGGCATGTGATGGAAACCACAGATTGCCAGATGATAATGCATACTTCTTTGAAGACTCACAGTGCTCCTAACTTACCTGATTGACTTGATACAGATAAGGAAACACATTTTATTTTTACTGTGTCACACAACTGGTGACACAATGCCAAAAAGTTGTTTATTAGTGGAAGTGCAAGCTGTTGGGTTTGCCTCACTAACTCCATTGTGTTCTGTGATCTCAAGTAAATATTTAGCCACCAAAATGTATTAAGAAGGCAAATCTGAACTATCCATATGTGATGGACAGTGGTAATTATTCACTTAGGTCTGCACATTGGTCTTAGGTCTGTTAGATTGCCCTGTTTGTTTTGGACTGTGGTATCTTGGATTACCTGAACTCAGCCGCTCTTGTAAGTGTGCTCGCCTTATATTAAATTATCACTGAACTGTAACCACCAGTCTACGTGTCCTGCATTTGGGTCCTCCAACCTGCTCTGCCTCACCACCACAACTGTGACACCAACTCCCAAACAGAAATCAGCTAACACACATTCGAATAGTGAGGTTAAACCCAATGGCAATTCTTTCAGATTATCAGGCCACTGGACAGGGTCTCTGCAGGAATGTGTCAAAGAAGATGTTTACTGCTGTTGCCTGTGGCCCAAAATGTCTATAGAACTACCCCTGTTCACAAAGGAACATTGATTTTAACATTTTGGGCCCCAAGCTAAAGAGTTCTTGAACTACTACATGTATCTACATCAGACTGTATGACATGTATCATTACCATAGTTCACAGTGTACACCTCAACTTCACAGAGACTTAGAACCTTCTGGTTTCCTGGGAGAAGCACAGTGACGTAGCGTCCCTCTATAGCGCCACATGAAAAGTATAATGTGCACCCGCTTGGAATGTTTTAAGGTGAAGTGATGAGCATTGGACAGACACAGAACTTCAGTTCTACACACTAGCAATTACAAGGCAAGGCAAGTTTATTTGTATAGTACATTTCAACAACAAGGCAATTCAAAGTGCTTTACATAAAACAAAAAAGCAACAGGGAAATATAAAAATTTTTTAAAAGTTAAATAGTTAATATCTAAAAACAAAGAAAAAGAAAAGACCTGAGCAGCAGCGTTCTGAATCATCTGCAGCTGTCTGATGGATTTCTTAGGGAGCCCTGTAAGGACACTGTTAGTCAAGTCAAGTCGACTGAAGATAAATGCATGGATACGTTTTTACAGTTCTTGCTGAGACTTAAGTCCTTTAATCTTTGATATATTCTTCAGGTGATAGTAGGCTGACTTTGTCTTGATGTGGCTCCTCAAATTCAGGTCTGATTCCATGACTACACCAAGATTTCTGGCTTGATTTGTGGTCCTTAACATTACAGATTGAAGCTGAGTGCTGACTTTCAATCGTTCTTCCTTGGCTTCAGTCTTATCTTTGTTTAATTAAAGAAAATCCTGGCACATCCAACCATTGACCTGTTCAGTACAGTTACTCAGTATGTATGGGATCATAGTCCCCTGGTGATATGGTTATGTAAATCTGTGTGTCCTCTGCATAATTATGGTAACATATTTTTTTGTTTTTCATAATCTGAGCCAGTGAAGCATGTAAAAGTTAAACAAAAGAGGCCTTGGGGAACTCCACATGTCATTTTTGTCAGCTCAGATGTGTGATTACCTACAGACAAATTTAAAATCTTGGGATTTGGGGGTGGTTGAGTATCCATCACCTTGTTTTGATGATTTGTCATATTTTGCAAAATTAAAAAGAATATAATTCAGATTAGCTTCTGAAGTTAGATCAAATTGAACGATTAAAAATGTACAAATTAACAAATATTAGACTTAATAATTAAATGACTAATAAAATAAAGCATATAGTTTAAGGTACTATGACTTACCTGTGACCAGTCATGGCTTTGGAGACAATCCCAGTGTCAAGGTTAGGACAATATGACTAATGGTGGATATGCTGGATAATTTGTTCTTACACAAGCAAAATTGAGGAGCAGTTTGCTAACCCACAACTTAGCTATCATTAGTGACATTACTTGTTGCTTTGTTATTTGGTTCTTAACCTGGGGGTCGGGACCTCCCTGGGTCAGTTTGGGTGGACACTGTAAATATTTTGCACTGTTTAATTCAGCAGTTGGAGGTAATGCCAATCACTATAAAACGACAAAGAAGAATCAGGCCCCGATCAGACAAGCGCTTTGCAGGTTCAAAATATTTTCAACTTCAGAAAGGAGGTTGGACTGCCAGAAAGGTTAAGAACCCCAGCTCTACACCATGGTATTAGATTTTTGTCCAGAACTGCTTTTTCAGGGAATTTACAGAAATGTTCTTAATCGGGATATGTATCGTTATTGGGATATGAAATACCTATATCGGGATTAGATATGAGATTTTAGGCATATCACACAGCCCTATAATGAACTGTGATGATGCTGAAAACTCCTTTTAGGAGTATTTAAGTCAACAAAGTTAGAGAACACTGAAACATGCAGCTAAAGGCTCAGTTTCAAATAATCTGATCTGCTTGTTGGTGATTGTGTTTACCATCTGTCAACAATAGCTTATCTGACAAGTTATTAATGCCACTAAGATATTCAGTTTGCATATTAAAAAATGTAATAAAAAACAATTGTTACATAATGCAATATTCAAAATCAGTTTTACCAATATTTGTTATCATAGACAGTAAACAGCATTCTTTATGAGCAACTGGTCATATTCACATGTACTTACACATACAGGCACATGCACACATGAAAATATCAGCCAATGACGGCTTCATTGTAAAAACATTGTTGAATCATAAACAACCCATACATTCACACCAAAGACAATGAAATCATAATAATAATAATGCAAAAACACACATCTGCCATTTGCTGGCATCATTATGAGCAACAGGAGACGAAAAAACATTGTTTCTTTGCTTGTCTCATCAAGAAACACAACACATAAATGTAAATATCTAGTGACACACAAAAAGCTAAATAATGATCCTTCATAAGGGCACATCTACCTATTCTGAGGAAAAAATAATATCATGGTTAACAAAAGGTTCTTCATTAGTTCCTGAGTTTTCTGACAACAAGTTTTGTCAGATGTTTTCCTGGCATCACAGTATAATAATTTAATGGCTCTACGGGTTGCTATGGAGTTGGCTGAGGGCTTAAAAGATAAATAGACTCCAAACACAACATTTGTTTAATGCATGACATGTACTGGTGAAGCCAGCTACTGGTTCAATTTATTTGGGTACAATTATTGCAATAGTGCTTCTCATTTGTACCCCATTCTAGCCATTCAAACACTGATTTTAAACCACTGACAGGGAGTCCGTGTAATTATCTGCAATTAAGTAACTTGTAGGACAGAAACCTAAAAATGTATTAGACATAACATTACATTAAAACAAAACTTAACAAATTAAGCATGATCATAATAATTTGTGATGTACTGTGTAAAGTGAACCTCCTGGGAGATGTGGAACAGTTTATATTCAGTAGCAAATGTTTATGAATAGGGAAGTTATGGTTTTCTTGTCTTCAATCATGGGGGTTTCAGTTTTCTCAGAGGATGGCCAGGCCCAGCACACCAACAGTGATCAGCAGAGCTATAGGGAAGATGGGAGAACAGACACTATTTATAAGATATTATTCAAACCTGGCATTCTTTTGAAAAACTTTGCTCTTTTAGGATAACAACCAGGGGCGTTGCTAGACATAAAGCTCATCCTCCATGTAAATATTTGATTTATTTTTGATTGAAGTGTGTTAGTATGTGCCTCACCAGCTTCCCTTGCTTAGCCCATTAATATTGGCTCTGTCAGGTCAGAAAGGGCGTTGACCGGAGCATAAGCACACATTCGTATGTTACCACCTAAGAAGAATTCTGCCATGGCCCGCCTACCTGAATTGTGATCCATGTACACAATTTGCCATTGCTGCACAGTCACACCTGACACTGCAGTCTGTCTCTGTAATATGCCTGAATGGAAACCTCTTCTAGAAAAATCCTCTTATGTCTGTTAAGAATGATGCTGGTTGTACATCTCTGGCTGTGCTCGTACTGGCTGAGGATGCCTCTGTTTCACCTGGGTCTGTGTGACCTGCTAAAGACATCTGGACTGGGTCTGTGCTGGTACTGGATTTGGATCAACTACACTTGTACTGGCTTATGATCCAGCATCTACTTTACTGATAAATTTAAGGATAATGCCAAATACTTGATGCCAAACAGTGGATCACTTAACAAATCTGAAGCAGAGCATTCAGAACTATTATGATAAAATCTGTTTTCAACAAATGTACACAAGTAAAATTAAGATAAATCTTTTTGAGTCCCTTTTTCCTCAACAAAATAAATATCAATACAAAAAGTGGTAATTTGTTTATGATTCAAATGAACAAGATCAAACATTTATTGAATATTTATTGAACATTTGTTATATTGTTATTGAGGAAAATTAGACTTAGATAATTTTTGTTACTGTTTTATTGTCCAACCCTAATTTATACTACGACTTGACTGAATAAGTGATGTTTATTATTTACTGAGAGATATTCATCCATATTGCTCAGTCTGCCCTGCTTATCAACATTGTAATAGTCAATGTGAACAGAGACAAATATTCACTGTCTTGTTTTAAAGTGATGCGTGCCTATGAGGAGTGCCATCACATCTGTCTGGACTCTGAATGTTGCTACTGGAATGCTGAAAGTCCGACTGCGGACATAAGTTTACCTGACTGCTGTTCCTGAAAGTCACTCTCATTGAGTTATTTTCTCTTCTTCTACACAGAAGGATAGTCCCTATTTGTCCTCTCATCCCCGTTATAAACACCTGCTTTAAACACTGACTCTCTTTTTGTGACGTTTCATATCATTAACTAGCTTACGTACCGCTTCGCATTAGCCAGTAGTTCATTTTGAAAGTGTAAACGGACATTGCATTTATATTAACGTTATTGCTAACTTGACCAGCCAATTGTTGCTAACTTGACCGCGGAGACCTACACGTACAAAAACGACGCCAAGGGGTCTTGAGACTTTCACTGGGGCACAGCATATGAATACAGGAGCACGTGCCCCAGTAAAAACGGCCTATGATAATAATACTACCTCTTATGCTTACCTTGCATCACTGATTGCTGCAGTGCAATTCCAGCGGTAGCGGAAGATGGAAGCAGATTGGTGACAGTGGCGTTAGGGTTTGCCAGGTCTACAAGACCACTCCTTAATCTGAAGACAGGGTTTCCCAGTGCCCCAGATGCTGAGAGCGCAAGCAAAAGACAAAAACGTTGCTGATGTTGGGAAATGTGAAAATATTAATATATTGTATGTGGTAGTCTTTGTGACAGTGGAACTTAGTTGACTGATGAAAGTGCACATGATGTGTGAGGAAATGTTTTAGCTTACAGATGTCGAAAGTTCCACTGGAGATTACGATTGCTAATTTTGGTGATTTAGTAGCTTGGTCTGGTACGGTGGCAGCAAATGTACACTGGATTGTGGTTCCATTGAGCCTGCCCTTCACAGAGTTCACGTTCAGCTAGAGAGCAAAGACAGATGACCAAGGAGATGTGTGTTAACATATATATATATACACGGGGTGAAAATTTACTTTGTGGCTCACCTGCCAATTGGACTTGTAGATGAAAAGATCCAACGGCCAAATATATTTTTTTACCAGCCAAAATAATAACTTGCCTTTTTATGTCACGTAAACATTTGTTTCAGTACTTTTAATTTAGATAATAAGCTAATAATAAACAGGATAATAAACTTAAAGAAGAAATAATATATTAAATAATAAATAATAAAATAATTTATTGATATTAAATGTACTTCAGACATAATATTAAATTGTTTTATAAACTTACAAGGTGCTTATTAATCAATCATTCAACTTAAATCTTATCACTGCTCACTCTTTATCATGCTTTATCATTCAACTTAATCCTCCACATTAATTAATATATTTTTCACTTTTGCCCCCTCACTACATTCATTCAACATGTAAAGTGTATCACTACTATAGGCCTAATATTAATTGTGGGTTGTTTTCATTTATTAAGTCCTTGTGAAAGACAATTATTCAACATTGGTCTGTAATTTATTAATGATAAACAAAATAATCATAACCATTCATGCACAAAAATAACTTAGGTTGTAGTTTTTACTCGCACATCGTAAATCATTTTTCTGGTTTTCACGTTTCTTTTTAACAGGCAAATGCATGTTTTGGCTTTAATGGAAGTGAACGTAGCAAAGAGCAGGTACAAATAAACGGGAGGTTTATGGGGAAATATTTTAAAGGGAGGACATTGGGAGAGAATGTTAAAATGCGGGAGAAGCTGGGGGAAGATGAGCCATGTGTTGGACAGGTATGAAATCTACGATGGTAGCTAGCTAAATGCTAAAAAAAACAGTCCAGGTACTTCAAGGAAGACTTGACTGCTCCCAACTCCAATCCCCTAACGCCCACCCCCTTACATATCTATGCCAATCAAACACAAGAAACCTTAAATGAACATAAACAACAACCAATTAACGCCTCTAACCCGTGTGTTACACGATTTCGATCCCTTGGTACAGTGGGGACCAATTTCAGTACGACACACAACAAAACAACGCTGATCTGCTGTACCATTAAAAATATATTATATGGCGATAACATACTGAATAGGTTTACCTGCCAATGTGGCGGGTAGCCTTTCAACATTTAGCCGCCAAATGGAAAATCTACTCGCATTTGGCGCTTGGTGGGTGTTAATTTCCAGTCCTCTATTTACATATACATGTATACATGTACACACGTACATGCATATTTGACTTGTAGAACAAAAAGAAAATTTAATTGAAGCATGGATAGATAAGGATTATTACTAGACTAGATCAGCTGTATGTACTGCTGTTCACATACTGTTTTTTTAAAACAATTTCTTTTTTTTTAATACAATATGTGTATTATAGTTCAAGGTTATATGACAGGCCATTCATGTGTGCTATGCAGCTGCCATGAATCGAATTTATTACAAGTTTTTTTGGGGGTTAAATATCCAACAAAATATAAAGAGCATGAACATCTGTAGGGAAAGTGGTCTCCAACACACCAATAAATCGTCCTCACCCAGCTCTACTCCCACCACTAGCTGAGTCAAGTACAACTCACCGTTGTTGGAATCAGCTTGCCGCTGTTGAGAAAAGTGCTGAAGAATTGAACAGCACTGCCGTTCTTAGCACAGACGTAGGTTGTGACGTTACCTGCCTGTGGTGCAAAACCAGAAATGGTTAGTATAACCTGTTTACATGCTCATGAATTCATACAAAGTGTGTGCTGTGATTGGCTCTGGGTTTGACTTTTATCTGTTTTATCTGATAAAACTTGACATACCAGTGTGGTGTCAGGTGCCAGGGAGGCAGCGATGTAGCCTGCTGACTGTCCTGAAAGCCCCAACATAAAGTTTTGACCACTCTGCTGCTGAGCAGAAAGAAAGAAACATGATCCAGAGGAGGGGTCGCAGTTAGAGGGCTGAGCAGCGCAGAGCTGTTGGGTCCCACAGCCTGTCCTACTAAGAGGTGTCTGCAAGGGAGAAAAAAATGTTTAAGTGGGTAGGAAATGTTCACTTTAATTAATTTCAGTATCATTAATAGAAGTGACATCACATTATCCTGTCCTGTTCTACTCTTTTCCACTATGATCTTATTTTATTTTATTGGCATTATTTACCTGAAGGGCAGTCACTGTGGTGTTGGGAAACAGTGTGACAGTGGCAATAGGATTTCCCACGTCTACAAGACTACTCCTAAATTTTATGTCAGGGTTTCCCAGTACGTCAGTCGCTGAGAGTGCAAGCAAAAGACAAAAACATTGCTGAGGTTGGGACATGGGAAAATATTAATATATTGCATGTGGTAGTCTTTGTGACAGTGGAACTTAGTTGACTGATGAAAGTGCACATGATGTGTGAGGAAATGTGTTAGCTTACTGCTGTCGAAAGTTCCATTGGAGATTACGAGTGCTAAATTTGTTGTTTTAGTAGTTGGGGTTGGTACGGTGGCAGCAAATGTACACTGGATTTTGGTTCCATCGATCTTGCCCTTCACAGAGTTCACATTCAGCTAGAGAGCAAAGACAGATGACCAAGGAGAAGTGTGTTAACATATATATATTTACATATATACTCTCTCTCTCTCTCATATATATATACACACACACACACACACACACACACACACACACACACACACACACAAAGTATGTGCGTATTTGACTTGTAAAACAAAAAGAAAATTAAATGGAAGCATCAATAGATAAGGATTATTACTAGACTAGATCAGCTGTATGTACTGCTGTTCAAATACTGTTTTTTGTAAAACTATTTCTTTTTTTTTTCTCCCAATATGTGTATTTAAGTTCAAGTTTATATGACAGGCCATTCATGTGTGCTATGCAGCTGCCATGAATCTAATTTTAATATTTTTGGGGGGAGGTTAAATATATTGAACAAAAGATAAAGAGCATGAACATCTGTAAGGAAAGTGGTCTCCAACACACCAATAAATCGTCCTCACCCAGCTCTACTCCCACCACTAGCTGAGTCAAGTACAACTCACCGTTGTTGCAATCAGCTTGCCATTGTTGAGGAAAGTGCTGAAGAACTTAACAACACCACCCTTGTTAGCACAGACGTAGGTTGTGACGTCACCTGCCTGTGGTGCAAAACCAGAAATGTTTAGTATAACCTGTTTTCCTAAATGAATTCTAACAAAGTGTGTGCTGTGATTGGCTCTGGGTTTGACTTTTATCTGTTAGTGGCAGAACTTGACATACCAGTGTGGTGTCAGGTGCCAGGGAGGCAGCGATGTAGCCTGCTGACTGTCCTGAAAGCCCCAACATAAAGTTTTGACCACTCTGCTGCTGAGCAGAAAGAAAGAAACATGATCCAGAGGAGGGGTCGCAGTTAGAGGGCTCAGCCGCGCAGAGCTGTTGGGCCCCACAGCCTGTCCTACTAAGAGGTGTCTGCAAGGGAGAAAAGAAATGTTTAAGTGGGTAGGAAATGTTCACTTTGATTAATTTCAGTATCATTAATAGAAGTGACATCACATTATCCTGTCCTGTTCTACTCTTTTCCACTATGATCTTATTTTATTTTATTGGCATTATTTACCTGAAGGTCAGTCACTGTGGTGTTGGGAAACAGTGGGACAGTGGCAATAGGATTTCCCAAGTCTACAAGACCACTCTTAAATTTTATGTCAGGCTTTCCCAGTGCCCCAGATGCTGAGAGCCCAAGCAAAAGACAAAAACATTGCTGAGGTTGGGACATGGGAAAATATTAATATATTGCATGTGGTAGTCTTTGTGACAGTGGAACTTAGTTGACTGATGAAAGTGCACATGATGTGTGAGGGAATGTGTTAGCTTACTGCTGTTGAAAGTTCCATTGGAGATTACGAGTGCTAAATTTGGTGATTTAGTAGCTTGGTCTGGTACGGTGGCATCAAATTTACACTGGATTTTGGTTCCATCGATCTTGCCCTTCACAGAGCTCACGTTCAGCTAGAGAGCAAAGACAGATGACCAAGGAGATGTGTGTTAACATATATACATATATACTCTCTCTCTCTCTCTCTCTCAATCTATCTATCTATATAGATATAGACACACACACACACACACACAGTACATGCGTATTTGACTTGTAAAACAAAAAGAAAATTAAATGGAAGCATCAATAGATAAGGATTATTACTAGACTAGATCAGCTGTATGTACTGCTGTTCACATACTGTTTTTTGTTTTTTGTACAATTTCTTTTTTTTTCTCCCAATATGTGTTTTATAGTTCAAGGTTATATGACAGGCCATTCATGTGTACTATGCAGTTGCCATGACTCTAATTTTAATATTTTTGGGGGGAGGTTAAATATATCCAACAAAAGATAAAGAGCATGAACATCTGTAGGGAAAGTGGTCTCCAACACACCAATAAATCGTCCTCACCCAGCTCTACTCCCACCACTAGCTGAGTCAAGTACAACTCACCGTTGTTGCAATCAGTGTGCCGTTGTTGAGGAAAGTGCTGAAGAATTGAACATCACTGCCGTTCTTAGCACAGACGTAGGTTGTGACGTTACCTGCCTGTGGTGCAAAACCAGAAATGGTTAGTATTTACCTAAATTAATTCAAACAAAGTGTGTGCTGTGATTGGCTCTGGGTTTGACTTTTATCTGTTAGTGGCAGAGCTCGACATACCAGTGTGGTGTCAGGTGCCAGGGAGGCAGCGATGTAGCCTGCTGACTGTCCTGAAAGCCCCAACGTAAAGTTTTGACCACTCTGCTGCTGAGCAGAAAGAAAGAAACAAGATCCAGAGGAAGGGTCGCAGTTAGAGGGCTCAGCCGCGCAGAGCTGTTGGGCCCCACAGCCTGTCCTACTAAGAGGTGTCTGCAAGGGAGACGAGAAACATGGGAAGGAAATGTGCATTTAGATTAAGTTCAAGTTCATTAATAAAAGTGACTTCACATTATCCTGTCCTATTCTACTGTATTCCACTATTATCTCTTTTTTTTATTGGCATTATTTACCTCAAGAGTTGAAACTGTTTGAGCATAGGTGCCCACAGATATCCAGGACAGCATCAAAAACAGGACAGCAAGGATCAGTCTGTTGTCCATACCTAGAGTTGGTAGGGTAAGTTTTTTCCGTTAAATAATATAAGGAGACACTTCTCTACAGTCAGTTTCATGACTGAGAAATTCAATAGAAAAAATATTTACAGTCAGTCATGAATAAAACTAAATGGGATTCATAAACTTATATTCCATTAATTACATATACATTATATACACCAATTAGTACAGTGAGTTTCAGCTTACCTGTAGATCTTCTTGTCTTCAGTTCTGAGGATAAAATTGGTTGAGGCAGCAAAGTTTCTTGAATTGAAGATCCTGCGTAGTTGTATTCTCAGGCTTGGCTTACAGGTGGACTGCTGGTACTTCTGATGTTCTTAACAGGATCCCAGGTAAAGATGTGACACCTGTTCACTCTGTGTCGCTATTTAAGCAAAAGGGTAGGGAAGAGTCAAGGTATCAGAGCCCAAAAACACCCAACTTCTCTGATACCATCGCTGATGTTTGTAGAGGGTGGGGTGCATGTGATGGAAAACACAGATATCCAGATAATAGTAAACGCATACTTCCTTGAGGACTCACAGTGCTCGTATCTTACCAGACTGACTTGATAAAGATAAGGAGACAAACATTTTATTTTTTGTGTGTCACGCAACTAGTGACACAATGCCAAAAAGTGGTTTATCAGTCCAAGCTGTTGGGTTTGCCTCACTAACTCCATTGTGTTCTGTGGTTTCATGTAAACACACACAACACAAAAAAAACTTATTAATAACAAGGCAAATCTGAACTATCCATATGTGATGGACAGTGGTAATTATTCACTTAGGTCTGCATGTTGCACCAAAGTGTGATCACTGGAGGGGACTTTTAAAATGCAACATTTTAACAAATGGGTGTGATAAGAATGTTTCTCTGCATGTATATGATGCAGTTTCTTCCTTTTTTCATCTCCCGTAACGTTGGTGTACTTGAAGCCTGTGGATATCTTAAATGGACCTTACATTAGAAAAGGGTTGTCCAATGTCCAATGCAGTGAGGAAGACACAGACCTGTATATTAGGAAAAGTAAGCAACCACTACACAAACGCAGGGCTTAAAGCAAAAAAAATGTCTGTGCCTGAAATGGGTTTATGAAATGTGTTTATAAAAGAAAGTTTACGAAAGATGGAGGGTAGAGGGCAAGAGCGTAACTTTGGGTAGAAAACTGACGGGGACATAGGGACTCAGATTAGGGTTCTGACATACACTTAGCTCATGAAACATGAAGAAACACAATTCTGGGTTCACAAGAAAAAGGCAATAAGATAACTGTACACTGGTTAATTTCCTGCATTCTGGTTATATTTTCTGCCACCTCCTATAATCAGTGCTTGAAGTGGAAAATATAGATACTGGGCAATATGGCTGAAAATGTTATCACAAGCCAAGGACCAATCACTGAAAAGATTTCCTTATTTAAGAACATTCTCAGATAAATTCACATTGAATGGTGAAATTCCTAAGAGCAGTTTATATTCAACACACATTTAACAATAAAGATTTTTCAAGAAAATACATTCTGATATAGGCCTACACATTAATAAAGATAAAAAGTTTATCTTTATATATCTTTATAAGCGCCTGTGTTTGCTTCTGTCGGATTACAGGGGTGTTGTTGGGAAGTCAATGAAACGCGTGACCATGGAGCTGTAGGTGCCATAATTGTTTCCATGACTATTTAGCTTTTTGATGGTTGTGACAAGCCAAAATCATCAGCATTGCTGCATTTGTCCTGACGCAAAGAAATGAAGTGTCATCACCACCTTCAGTTTAACTGAAAACGCATTAATGTGTAAAGTCAGTGGTGAGATGACTTCCCTCACCAACTCGCTGACAAGAATTATGCCTTTGCTGTCCGACCCCATCTTATTAACTGCAAATCGTCAAATGTTTGAGAAACAATATTCCTCTCCTGAAAGATTTCCGCATGTCTCTGTCTCCACAGTGCCATCACAAGCCCCTACTGGTTCCTAACTCCTAACCACTTGAGAGACCTCTGGAGCTGTCTTAAATAACTGGGAGAGTAAGAGTGATTCTTAGCTTTAAGAAATTTGATAACTTGCTTTTATTCTTAAATTCTTAAATTTCATGAAATCTCAGCACTAAAATGGCACTTTGAGAAGCTTGATAAATACCAGCCCAGATGGTTAATTGTGGTTTTAAACAATTTTTATGGTCAGAGCACACTTAATGCCAGGATCCAGTGTTTCCCATACATTCATTTATTTGTGGCGACCCGCCACAATATACGCTGACCGCCATATATTGATTTTCGATTTCTTTTAAAACTAAGCCTATTTCAAATGGTATTTGATTGCAGAGCACCGTAGTGCATTCACGAAGCACATCCTCTCGCCCGTCCCTCTCTCTCTCTCCCTCATGAACACCGCTGCACTAATCTGTCCAACACAACGCTGTCAGATGCCCATCTTAAAAAAAGTTATTAGCAAGCACGTAAGAAGCCTAGCTAATAAGAAGAGCTAAGTTAACGTTAGAGCTGACCCCCTCCCCTTGTCACAACAACATTGTGATTCCATACGTGTCTGGAGTATCAGAGAAACTCAGGAGGATTTTCAACAAACATAACATCCCTGTGTTTTTTAAACCCATGAACACACTAAGACAGATGCTGGTAAACCCCAAAGACCGCACACCCAAACACAAGAAAAGCAATCTAGTGTATGCGGTCCAATGCAGTGAGGAATGCACAGACCTGTATATTGGGGAGACTAAACAACCACTACACAAACGCATGGCTCAACACAGAAGGGCCAACTCCTCAGGTCAAGACTCTGCAGTCTACTTACATCTGAAGGACAGAGGACACTCGTTTGAGGACCACCAGGTGCACATTTTAGACAGAGAAGATGGATGGTTTGAAAGAGGTGTCAAGGAAGCCATCTACACCCGGGTTGAGAAGCCGTCATTGAACAGGGGAGGGGGTCTACGCCACCACTTATCCCCCACTTACAATGCTGTCCTTTCATCACTTCCCAGGAAACTCAACAAACGTAACCTATTGGCCTCAGGTGAAGATACCAACGATGGTCGTTCAGTCTTGGCCACAGGTAGTCTTAACTACTGTAACGACTGTCGTCACAGCAACCAGGAACACTAACGAACCAGCGGTATCGATGACCCGGGCCAACGACCCCACTGAGGTTAAATAGCTGAGTTTCCCTGCCAGTCAGTCAGAACTGAAGAAGTCCTTTGGATGAGGGACGAAACGTCTTCCAGTATCTTCAACCAAGTCCAGTTGCCTTTGATTTTAACCTTCGTTGGATGATTATGTAGTGTACCAACAGTGTGGATTTGGGCATTTTATACCAAATAAGTTTGGACTACTCCAAATTCTTTCTCTCTCCCTGACAGAAGGAAGAGGGGGTTTGGATTATCAACCCTCTACAGACAGCCGAAGAGACCCCAAAGGAAGAGGTGAAAGGTTGCTCTCCCTAAGTGCTGTTTCTGGGCAGTCTGATCGTAAAACTGGCCACCTTTGGCAGCAGCCGTGATAATCTCGCTGCCTGACTGTTAAAATGACAAAAGAAACACTGTTCAGAGACTAGCTTTCTCCTGAACTCTTCTCTTCATAAGAGAGGGCAGGAAACCCTAAACTGCCCCCCACACACGTAACCATGGCAACTGACCTTCCTCTTTGTTTAATTACCTCACATCAAAGGCTTTTCTCCTTTTCACGCCCAGGTGTGAGAAACTCTGGTGTCCTGCCAACTCCTTTGTGTAAACAAAGAATGCTGTCTCCTCAAAACTCAAAGCATTACCTTGTTTAATTAAATCTTTAAAGTTACTTGACTAGGTCTCTCCACTACATTTTAGTAGTTATTTTACCATGTTGTTGTTGTTAATATTTGTTATTGAAAAGAATCTAAAT